TAAAGCCGAGCATAACAAACTTCTAAGGCATTTTCATAAAAATAACTGATCACCAGCGGGTTCCTTTTAGGCCGTAACATACAAAATATCCTGTCCTATGGAAAATCGTTTCCCGTGCAAAATAACATTGAAGACTTTGCCAAAATTTTATTTGGTTCTGGCTGTTCTCCTACGACAGAGCATACAAGCGCATATGAGATCGCTTTTAACTTAACCTTTTATTTTACCTATAAAGATTTAAAGGCACTGCTTGCAACTCGAGCAAGCGGAAACAAACGGATCCACTTATACACTGTTTACCCACAGCCGTTAGGTATATCCATACCTTTCTTCAATTATGCGGCGAAACATTTTTTAGCTAAAAATTAGGTTATATATGTCCTCGGTGTTTCAGATCGCCCGTGTATTTACCAAATAAGTTCATACTTGCTTACGCCTTACAATTTCCAACTCCCAGTTGACGGATAATCACGGCAGGAACGAGGTTCATTTGTTTCCCTATGTAAAATCCTACTCCAAGCTTTGTTCTCCCTCTCCGATCCCCTTCAGAGTACACTTGCGGTGCTTTGTCAGTGCGCCTATCCGGAGACGATGCAACTTCGAGTAAAGGTCAAGCCAGAGTTAGTATTGCTCTCAGTCTCCGGGCTGAAGCTACTCTGGCTGATTGGATCCCAATCAGCAGTCTGACGTGTGCGGTCCGACTGGATGACTTGTTCAAAGCTGCGAAGTCACGCCGGGCTAATAGGCATCTGTGTATCACCACTGCCTACGCTCCCAAAAAAACTGTAGCGATGACTCGGTAAAAGAACATTTCTATCTTCTATTGAACGAGCTTTTCGCCACAGAAGAAGCCCGGACACTGTATTGCTTGCTGGGGATCTGCACGCTCATGTTGAGCAATTGTCCAATGAGGAGCTGCATCTGCGCGACCGACATGGTGTAGACTCCTGTGATGATAACAGTGAGCCGTTACTACATTTGTGTGAAGAGGCTCACTATTTCTTGCGAGCACTGACTTCCCACGCAGCACCTGTCGGATGGTGACATGATGCCCACCAGTCTCGAACTAGCTATGGACACAAATCGATCACCTTGAGATCAGTTGTTGCTGGAGAGTCTGCGACGAAAACTCGCTTGATTTTGAGCACATGTGTTGATAACGACCATGCACTTGTATGTGCTAATCTGCGGATGATTTTTGGCGGTCGCCCTCGACGACCCTGTGAGCGTATGGATATAAGGCAACTGGCGAAGCCAGGTGTTATGAATACGTACCGAAGTATGCTTGGCGTTCGGGTTGAAAAACTACTCACTGAATACACTTAAAGATCACTGGTCGCAAGTTTACGAGACCTTAATTGTAGCAGCTAAAACGTCATGTGGCAAATCCATTAGCCAACATAGACAGTGGATCTCTTCACAGTCTCTGGCACTTATCGATGCTAGCCGGCATATTCCGACTGGGATGAAACACAACGAGACTCGCAAAGACTGGAGAAAACTCCGTGCTAGCTTGAAGAAAGACCGTGTAGCTTGGTATTTTCCTCATGCATCAGGGATGGAAATGGCCGTTGCCCTTGGAAAACATCGAATATTGTCTGATGCAAGAAACAGGCAGCAGGAGTACTGGTGTTAGTGAAACTATACGTGACGTGAGTGGACAGACTATCCGCCACTTGTCAAAAGTTTGGAAGCTTTGTTGAGCGTCTTGATAATTAGTTTGATTGACCAGAATTGTTAGATCCCTCACCGGCCAGCGATCGTCCTGCTCCCTAGGCTGTCCCTTTTGATCCACCCTCTCGCTCAGAAGTCGAACTTGTGATCGGACTGTTGAACTTGCATGATGCCGCGGGACCAGATGATCTACATCCAGCACACTTCAACTGCGGGTGACCTGCATTTGTTGATGAATTATACGAATTAATAGTGAAGATGTGGGAGCTGGAATCTGTCCCAACCACCTGGAGCCAGTCCATTATTGTCCCGATCTTCGACTGAGACTCGCGTTGGGAATGCGGTAACCATCGTGGAAACCGCCCGTTCTCCATCGCCTTCAAATTGCTTACTTCTGGTATCCCTCACCGACTGACTGGCACTCCTGAAAGCCAGGTTGGTGAAGAGAAAGTCGGGTTTCGTCGTGGTCGAGAATACATTGACCACATATTCACATTGCATCAGTTGTTGGAGCACCGTCACATATATTAGCGGCCCACAGTTTTTGTGTTCCTTGATGTTCAACTGCCTTCGATACAGTGGATAAACGTGAACTTTGGGACTGCTTGACCAGGAAGGGTTTGCCCGAGAATTATGTAAATAATTTCCTCACACTAAACGTGCGTAGCTCGGGCACAGCGGGGGTTTACGACAAGCTGTCCCTATTCTTCCATATCACCAGCGGTGTGAGACAAGGATGTCCACTGTCACCTTTCCTCTCCAAATTCGCTATTAATCGAATCATGGAAATCAGGTCAAAAGGGCATAACTTAGGAGGTGTGGATTGGCTCTCAGATGAACGGCTTCTTGACTTGAATTATGCTGATGAAATTGCAATAATCTGTGACAGCTCACAAATGTGCCAAGCAGCACTGGACAGAGCAGCAAAGACTGTCACCCATTTGGGCTATGTTTTGCACACTCGAAATGCAAAGCTCTCCTTCAAGCTCGGCAGGGACCGCCTCCTGCATCCTTGGGAGGATCAGCTAGACGTCGGTCAAAAGTTCAACAACCTATGTGGTTGAATCAGCGCCCATGGAATTAAAGACCAGGTCACAAACCGTATAGCAAAACCTCGAGGCGCAAATAGCCGCAAGTTTGACCCTACTCTACGGTTGTGAAACCTGGTCCCTTAGATCTGCGGACATAAAGAGGTTAGTTAAGTTTGAACTTTAATGCCTTTGCAGTTTGGCTCAAATCTGTTAGGAACACCTAGTGAGCAATGAGCGTGTTCGACGTCTTGTTTATGGCGCAGGAAGCACAAGCGAACTGCTCAGCACCGCTTTTTCACTCACCAGGCTCCGATGACTGGGCCAGGTGTTGCGTTTGCTATCCCACCGAATTTCGCGACGTGCGTTTTATTCACGCCAGGGGTGCGGATGGAAGAGGAGGTGCCGTGGCCAAGCGATAAGTTGGACAAGAGAAATGAAGGCCCCTATTTCGAATTTGGCCTCGGTAGGAGCGTCTCGGCTCCCTGGTTGGGGTCCAAAAGAGCATGCACACGTTTAGTTGGATACACTTGTTGATATGGCTAGGAGCAAATCTCAATGGCATTTGTGTTTTGAATTCCTTTTTCTCTCCCAATCAGTTTAGCCTCCGTCTCCAAACACGATCCCATTTAATAAACATTACAAGATATTTTGCTTTTAATAGCCGGCTGTTAACTCTCCGTAACGATGTCCATCCGTTACTAGCGACTCGGCTAACTTGCCTCGGTTTCACTTTATTCTTTTTGTTTATATTACGGCACAATAGCTGAGGTGTTTTTCCCTGCAGCTAGCCTGTATAATAATCATACTGTATAATCCTACTTAACCTTTTGTGCAATTCCATCCACGATTCCCCTTTTGTTTTACGGTCATTCCTGACAGTAAAATGAAAAAAATTAGATTAATCTTACTCAAACCAACCTGTTCAAGTACTTCTTTTAACTATGTAGTCAGGGACTAAGATCCTAAAATTTACTAATTTCTATTAACGTGGACATTTATTATCAGCGGGGCGTCATTAACAATAGTGCAATCTGTTGAAATAAAAACTCACTATCACAAAATTTGATGGCTCATCTAATAGGAATTAATGACTTGGAGAAAATTGGGTTTCAAAATGAATATTGGATGATAAGTCGATAATACACAGTCATAAGGCAATGGTTAAAGTGTGAAGATAACAGTGATATTGTTTGCGGTCCTTGGTGGTTTTCCATGTTCCGCGCCAGCATCACTCCTACCACATGATATCTCATGGGCATGCATGTATTAAACTGGCAAACAAACCAGAAGGAATGGGCTAGGGCAAAAATGAAGCCGAGTGCAAGTAATTTATTGTAAATTATCAAGCAAAAACTAAGGGTATTCTGTCGATATTAACATGGTAGGTGAAATGGACCAACGGCATTTTATAGAGTTGTTCTAGACTCTAGCTTACCCCACAAGTCAAATTTTAGTCCCTATCGGGCGAGTTAGATGGAGATAAATAATGCGAGGCTATCTTAGGTAAGCGGTGGGCGGAGACATATAACAGGTGACAAAGACCGATTTGTGCTCTCTAATTTGATTTCCTACAAGAAAATAACCTTACATTCACCGCCTTGTAGACACACGTGTACACAATTCTTCCGGACACGATGTCAGCTCGCAACCTCGGCAATGCTTTCAGGTAGCTGATCATATCATCAGAATGATTGGAACATTTGTTCATATTGTTAGGATTCTGGACCTCAGTGTCGCCCTTTACACACGACTATTGTGGTATCACTGCGCTGGCACGTAAATTGCTGGTTATGCAGCCACCAGGAAGTACAGAAAGGCAAGAGTGGAATAGTCATTGTTCCACAATTGCACTTGATACATTCAAACAGCAAAGCTCATGTAAAACTCTTGGCTGAAAAGTACACAGGCAAATTTCCTAGGCAAGACCATATCGTCCACCCTATCTCGTTTTCAACCTCTCACTAAGCAGAATCGCAATACCTACATCATAAGTGTCTGAGTGATCACTGCAGGAGAGAATCAATGATGAATTTGTACTTGGGAAATTCTGATGAACTGCAAGTTTGGGTTGAAGGGCAAAACTAACGCCACAACTTATGTTAGAACAGCTTACATATTGGACAGAAGCATATTGTCGAGAAAGCATGTTAATGAACATGACTTGCTAAAAATACGTGCTTCTCTGATTTATTTATTCAGCTTCCAAACCAATTGAATAAGTCTAAAACTCCAAAAATATACGAGCGTTGCAGGTGTCGATGTTTAGGCCTTATTCATTATTCATTGTTACCTTCAATGCAGATGCAAATCATACTGGCTTGGCAGTATCCAAATATGTTGTTGATGAAGGAGTTCCCGTGGTATGCGAAGTATTCTCTTATAACCGACTATCCAATTTCAGATCCGGTAAGTGAAAAACGAAGTAAATTGGCTAATATTTCTCGCGCATTTTGTGAAAATGATAGTTAATTTGGACCTAGGTTATGATCTTAATATTGGTGTTGTGTCTGGTACATAACGAAACATTCGGTTAAAATAATTATCAGTAAAATATATTTTAGTTTATTATGGATGTTAAGTATACTTAACACCTAAATGACTTGTGCGTTATAAAATACATATTCAGATTCGAAGTCAAATGCAGTTTCCCATGTATGTTGTCTTTTAATTACTCGTCACCAGTTAATGCGGACAGCCAAATAAAGCTTTACAGATAGATGAGTAACGGTAACATTAAACAAAATATGGTTGAGTATTACGCGGCCATAGAAAATATGTAGAAATGCATATTTTTATAGCAAAACTTGTTTATTCCTAACAGAAACTGTTTAACTTCATTAAATGTGTATATCAGCAAGTACAATCAATCGAGCGATTTGGACGCGAAGATAATTTTTGTGTCGTCGACCATATGTTTGTTCACGTCACTGCGTTGATGATTATTGTACGCAACTACAATACATGATTGGAAGCGGTTTGGGAAATGAAACAGGTAACTAAGAAATGCGAAATTATTACAAACATCGTGACAAACATCGTGACACAAAAAAGTTAGTATAGCATATTCATTTTCTTTGAACTGCTGCTAAATACACTTTATAGTATACACTTATTTATTTGTTTTGCAGGGCCTGTATTTGCAAGTTATACATAAAGTTAACCATTGCTTTACTTAGTCCTGTACTTATTTATTCTGGTCTTAAAATATATAGCAAAATTTGATTACATTTTAGCTGCATCTCTAGGGACATAAGTTATAAAGTTTCATTTAATATTATCCAGTTCACAGCTGTCAGCGTCGACCTAGAAGTAAACTCAGCTTACGCTCCGTTATGGTGAAACTTCTTGTGTATTATAGTCCAAGCAATTGTGCATATTACATTTAATGTCGTTCAAGTAAGGTACAAGCATATACATGTTTCTTTCGTGTCAACTGGGCATCGACTGTCCTCATGCATGTGAAGTATCCATTTACTCGAGCAAATCAGACCGATTTTTGGAAAGTAATGCATCGTATTTTAAAAATAAGCACAGGTTTTGTGATTTCTCAAAGTATGTGCGGGCATTGAAAGTGTTCTTTGCTCAACACGTCCTCATTTTGCTGATAAGCATGACTGGTGATGGATACATAAATGATGAATCCTATGTGCAATAAATTGGGAAAGAAAGTAATGTACTTAGGAAATGTTTTGTGATACGCATTTATCTGAGCCTTGCTTACGTACAAATATAACATACCTTAAAAGTGGATAAGTGCAGTGAAAATATCCGCAATCAAAGGATAAATATATAAAAATTGTCGTCGCAGAGTTGGGCAAATGACAGTTTGGCCATTTAATCTAAGTAACGTTATGCCCCTAAGCTTAGAACAATTATTGCGGTCAAAGGACATTGAGCTCAACAGGCAACAGCTGAGGAGAGTGTGCGGCAGAAATAGGACTGCTTAACCAGCAATAGTTGGAAACAGACGATGATAGGTATATGCCGCACATTACCGTTTTTCTAGAATAACCTAAAAATTTACAGTGACGCTGCTTTTCGAAAATCAGAATAGAAATAGTTGAAATGACTAAGACTGACGTGTACAGTATGGGAGACGAAAGAAGAAATATAAGTAATTCTACAAGGGCTAATATGTATATCCTTCAGAACATGAATATCTGCTCTTGTTGAAAAGAGTAAAAAAACTGTTTAGGAATATTAAACTTAGCAAATTTGTGGCAGCTAGAACTGAATATCGAAGAGTTGTCTTACATTTAGTCCGTCTATTAAGCATTGTGTAGCAGCTGAAGAAAATAGCGCCTTACATATTTACCTATAAATTTGCGTAAGTGCTTCCCTATATGTAGCTTGATATGCAGTCAAGCCTTTTCAGCATATAACCATCTCACATACATTTGATACTCGCATACAACCCGGAGTTCCTTGGAATGCATTTTAGTTGCTACCGCAGATTCAAATAGTCCCAATTTTGCGATTTACATAGAGCAGTTAAATTTTTTTTCTACATTTAATATCAGGTCATATACAGGATGGAATGTGCGCAATTAGGCTTCACTAATACGCTTCTTTCTCTAAAATGTTCGCACAGCGCTAGCTCTCTTTGTCTGTCGAAAACTGTTTGTTGCATATGTTGAATTAGGAGACATACTGTTGGTAAAACTTTCGCAACAGCATTTGAATAGTGGTCAAACAGCCTTGTGATTAACAATCGCGAAATAAAGACGCGCTTTTCTAATACTAAATCAATTTGTCCCATAGTATCCTCTTAAATTTCTAAGAAAAAGTTTCGTTACCTCTCATCACACAGATAAAAGGTAAAAAGTAACGGATTTATAAAAAAGTCTATATCATACTTTATTCTACGTTGAATGTACGTAGAGTGGAGACCAAGCCCATTCACGAGAGTGGCAAAACATGCTAAGCACTCGAACACCACCTTGCAAAATGGGCAGGGTGTATCGCGCAAACTTATGCTTGGCCAACTTCATTAAATATCTGCAATCTTAGTAATCGAAGATAAAAACAATTAGTCATATTTTAGGCTACGGATTTTATTGGGACTGATATAGTTTTACGTTTCTTGATTATGCTTCTTTCCAATAACGATAATTCAATCTGTATCGCTAAACATGCATATGATCAAAAACAGTACATCGTGTGCTTACTAATTAAACATAGTCCATGTAGCAGTTAAATGTTTATCAATAGAGAACTTGGCTTCGGTAGCCTGGGAAGTTCCTAATTGCTTTTAACTGTGCATATGCAATAATGGGCTTCAAATTTAAATGGTATGATTTTGTGTTACAATGCACCGTATGTAGAAGTGATCAAAAACCTGCCTGTCAATTCACTTTCAGCCTACGCCTTAGACTGGAATTTGACGGCGAAAGGGTCTACGCGGCAAGTTATACATCCTGTTACTGAGGCACGTTAGTAATTTTCCCACTAAAAGATTGAAAATTTTCGATGCTAATTTAAACCGATTTTACATAACTGCTACGAGCTCTTGTAGTTATTTTAAAAGATAGAGTTGACGATATATATATATATATATATATATATATATATATATATATATATATATATATATATATATATATATATATATATATATATATATATATATATAGATTAGCATCAGTAGATAAGATAGACATAGAGCCAGCGAAAACCATGAAATTGTAGTAATAAATACAGGCCACAAAGAGTAAAAATGGATGGTTGCAAACACGCGTTTTTGTTTTTGATTCTTGTTTGTCTTTAATTATACAGGCCGTGTAATCTCTTTTCCGCTGTTTACCTTTTGCGATGGAAATCAAGATAGCAAGACACACATTCCTACAAATATTCCGTTGGATCCGCTTCTGTTCCATCCAACAAGTTTCCAGCTAGCGGCGTTATTCATCTTTGATCCCCCAGCCCGGAAGACGCACGGTACCTACGACAGCTGAATTGGTAGTCAGCGCCTTAATCATTTATAGCCATTTGATAGGCTGACCAGCGCGCGACTTTTTCCAGCCTGATGCTGTGCGACCGTAGAGAGCGTGCCGTTGCCGTCGTTCGCATCGCATGCGCAAAACGGGATCCAACCATCTCAGTTGGCGCAGCTGTACCAGTCTGTCAAATGGAAATCCCGTGTTACTCAAGAAGCGACGTGTAACATCACGGTTGCTCGCGTCTTTTATCCACCACACTCGAGCTATTCCCCGCAAATATCAATGGTCAAAGTCTGAAATCCGAAGCGTCATTCACACGAATCCGCCAAGACTCACACCCACATTTCAGCACCGCGTGAAGACAGGCATTGTAAACCCAGCCGCTTGCTAATAGTGAAAGCGCACGGCGTTGCCACGGATGCCTCAAAGTGACAATTACTGAAAGAGGATTTGAAAATACGGAGGGAAATCTATTACGTGATGCCACCATCAGCAAAAACACATTTTCTTAGGCAAACAATATTGTCCACTTGTACAAGCTGCGTACTTCGAAGAATAAGTGCTGGCGAGGTGGATGCTAATCCAGGTCGAGGACACTGCATTTCGTAGAGGCAAAAGTCGTGCCCTATTTTGTTGCTTCAATCCACAAGCGGTTTACAACAATCTGTGCGGTATATGCGTCATCGCAAATTAAAGCAATATAATCAGCCTAATCTAAATCGGTCAAGAGGTTGCCAGAAGATGTTCTATACAAGAACCCTGAAAGCCAATGAGAGCATTTAAGAAATCATCCTCGATTGCAAAATTGAAGAGAAATGGGGACTTGGAGCAACCCTGTTGTACACCACTAGTGACGACAAAAGGTGAAGAGGACTTGCTGTAAGCTTGACATATTATAATACGATACGCGAAGAATGGCCATATCATTCTTAGGCACTTTATTCCTTTGTAAGCAACGGTGTAACGCTTGCCGATCGGCAGAGCCGAAAGCATCTCGGATATCCATATAAACATGGATAGTGAGCTGACGGTAACGACAACGCGTTTCAGAGAGTTGGCGCAGCCTAAGTGCGCTATTCACCCATAACCGAGCTGAAACCAGCATGTTCTTCACAGAAGCGCAGTTCTCTAATCAGGCTTAGTCTGTTGAGTACAAGAGATTTTAACAGCTTGGAGGTAACGGATATTAGACTGGTTCCATGGTGGTTGGCGCTTAGGGTAAAGGCAACTTTCTTATAGACCAAGACGACAATTGACTTGTTTTAAGCGGATTAAACTGTTTCTTCATACCAGATCTTAGAGAAGAGAGCTGTTAGGTGGTTGAAAATTACCTTGCCTCCGGACTTGAAGAGCTCCGGAGGAATTCCGTCTGGGCCAACCGACTTGAATCGGAAGTTATGGCAGACCTCGTCTTTAGTGGATGGTCCCAATGAGACTTCAAGACGCGCAACTCAGTGTACTTATTAG